CTTAAAAATTATAAATAATAATTGAAAAGTTATTCCTGATTTATATACCGTTTAAGCAAGTTGTAAATTTTAATTTTCTATTGTTTCAATTACATTATTATTAAATATACATATACTATAATATATGTGTTCATTGGGGTCTCCGACAATTCCTCATTAGATTTTTTTTTCAAACTCGCCTAAAAAAGAGGAAAGAATAAATCATGTTTGTTTTCCCATGTAGGGGTTTTGCATTAAACACGGAAATATACAACTTTAACAAAATAAAATTCTAATTCAAAATTTTCCGCTAATTAATAGTTTAATAGTTATAAGCAAGAAAAGTTATACATTAAATGCATTCAGACTCAAAATTTAAATTGGATTTTTGGCAGACATTTTTGCAAAAAAATAAAAATTTCAGTTAAAATTTCGCGACATTTGTTTGCAAATAGTTGTAATTGAAAAAAAAAAATGCTCGTCGAAGTTCTGAAGAATTATATCTCAAAAACCTGAATAAAATTTAATGAAGATCGTTTGAGTCTTGCCAACTGACTTCAAGAACACAATTTCGAGAAAATCGCGTTTAAAAACGGCGCACTTTCTCAAGTTCTCAAGGCCTCTTCTCTGCAACTTACTTACTTACTTGTATCAACTTCAAAATTTAGGGCAATATTCTGGAGTTGTTGTAGAATTTAAAAAGACAAGGGCAAAACCTGAAACTTCAGGAGGCGTGTGCAAAAAATTAAGGAAGTGACGAACGTTAATATATAAATATGTTTGTTAGTATAATAAAGTCAGATCTGTCTGAAGTAAGGAGAGTTAGAATCCCGTCACTTGCTTCGAGACTGGCCGCTTTCATCAAGGTATGCTTGAAGCATTAGTTATTCAGTAAATGAGACTCTAGGCGCTTTATCGATATAAAGAGTTTTCCAATAACAGTGATATGATTTCTTTTTAAACAAAAAACACAATAATTGTTGAGGAAATTCAAATGTTTCTTATTTAATGTGAAGTTTAACCGATACAATTAAGTTCTGAAATAACACCATTCAAATTGAATCGACGACTTCTGTTGCAGAAATGAATTCGATAAACCAAATTTGCAAGCACTTTTTCCACTAAATCAAGTCGTATGTCATGAATAACACGTTCAATATTGACTTTTAAAGGTTGAACACTAAAGTTACCCTGGTTTATTGTTAAAGACCAATGACATCAAATAACCCCACTATAAGTTGCCTAATGGTGTGATATCACAACCTTTTCGGAGGCCATTCAATGTCACAATTTTTTAAAATAATCGAAACTCCAAACTTTGCTCGCAATAATTCGGTTGTTAAACGTTCTGTGTGGCACGTAGTCCCGTCTTATTGAAGTCAAATGTTGTCAAGATCAATTTCTTCCAATTGTGGCCTTAAAAGTTGATGACAGTAATGATACCACCAGTTTCATTTCGAAAGAAGTACGGATCGATGATTCCACCAGACCAAAAACCACACCAAACTGTCAATTTTGGTGAATGTGATGATTGTTCATGAATATTATGTGAATCTACAGTTTTATTTATTTATCTCACCACTCAGATGAAAGTCAATTTAGGTGAATGCCTCAACGTAGAAGATGACTTTCTTACAAAATCATTATCGTTTCCAAGCTGTTCCAAACCAAAATCAACAAATTCACGACTCATTCAAGAATTGAAGCCACCGCAACAGTTCTTGAATGAGAAATCCAAAACAAATCCTTTCGCAAAATTCGCCAGGTTGTGGTTCTTGCGAACGTTTTGAAATCGACAAATGAAATTTTCGTGGCCTAATTAGTTAAAAAACATTGCTTCATATGTTTTTTAATTTGCTCTGATTTTGTTTGAAGCACAGTTGGCTGCTCTTATTTGAATAAAGAAATATTTTTAGACTTTTCGAGATCTGCTTTGCATTCCGAAACTTTATCAGAAGGTTCTCGTTTATTAGTCAAACTCTCTGAACTTGCCGGATCCAAATACATTTGTGGCCAGCCAATATCATCGGTGTTACAATAAAACTAGTTTTTGCGGGCGTTTGTAAGAAAAAGAAGAAGTAATGCAATTTCGCTTTCAGCGAATGTTTCTTAGACAATAATGCCAAACATCAAACGCCTTTGTCAATAAATTGTCCTATTCAAAACTGTCTGTAGCGTGACCTTCTTTTTCTTTACTCAGTTTTTGGCAAAAAAGAAGTATTTTCGCTAGTTTTTTGTTGTGCCGCAAATACATACACATTTGTCTTTTTAAATACATTACGAAATAATTTATTTACTTAATGTGTATGTGTACACCGTGTATGTACGTGTACACAGGTGTATGTTTTTATACAGGAATTTATCATTTTTTCACTTTCATACTGGTTAGTTTTTATTAGCATTTGACCCAAACGGCGCATCTGCTCATTTGTCTCACTCGCCATTCTCTCTATTTTTGTACTCATTGCATTAGTCACACACTCCACTTTGTAACGGACATTGACTGATAAACGGTAACGCTCAGCTGTAACTCTTTGAGATGATTGGTCAAGAAATTTTAGGTATTGTCATCTATAAATTATGATTATTTATTTAATTGCATAGCTTCAAATTTGTTTTGTGCATTTTTATTATTGTATTTGTCATGTTTTTTGCTCACTTTGGTTACTTCATTCATATTTGCCTTTTATGCCAATTTTAGTTTTCAAATTGTTTGGTTTTCTGCAGTTAACTCAACACCTTGAATTGGCCGTTCGACGTTATGGTCTAATGTTGTTGTTGTTGMTGCTTTTAGGCGTGCGCTTTATTTATAAATATTTTTACAGTAATTTATTAGTATTTTTTTATTTATATATGTATATGTGACCTGGTCTATGAAAAGGGAGCTAACGTGCGAAAACTATTTTTCTGGGAAACAGCTGTTAAAAATCTCATATTCCATCCGAATCAACTAAAAAGTGAAAATTGATTTTTTTGATTTTTTGACACCTATTTATCTATGTGTGTATGTATGAATGTCTTTTATTTGTGTTGTGAACTTTCATTATGGTATGACATTAACATTTGCTTAATTACATAACAGCTTGTGGATACTTTCGTTGTGTGGCGGTATTTTAAAGGCATGTTCATACATACATATGGAAATATGAACAGTATTGTGCACAGCGTTAGCAACATTTGACAAAATAAAAATGATTTTTCTCAAATTTTACAAGACTTACAAAAAATGTTTTTTTTGTTTGTTTATTTTAAAAGTGGTAACGCCGAACTGAGGCTATTGTCAGGGTCACAGTTGGCCGTCCACTATGCCTATGCTATGTAGGACAACTACGAATAGTAATACGCAGAGGCGAAGGCGCTAACAAATGTCGCCTTTAAATAAGCGTTCGCAACCGATATTTATAATACTGAGGGATGGTTCGCTTATATATATCCCTCAGTATTATAAATATCCGATCCGAAATTTTGCACACATCCTATTTTTCCCAAGAAGTTGCTCAATTGTTGAAGCCGCTGATAACGGGACGACTATAGCAAATAGTTTTCATACAAACAGATTGAACCAAATAAAGTCCTTTTATGGAAAACGTTTTTATTTGACGAGATATCTCCAAGTAATTTAGCATATTAAACTATCCAAGCAAGAGCTACAATCCCCGAACAAATTGCGTAGATGGGATCTCTAAACCATACATCTGTCATACAAACTAAACTATAAAAATCATTGTACGGTAAACTCTTTTATTTGTCAGAATCAAGCCACTGAATGGAAAACGTTTTTGTTTATCTGAATAACTTCATGAAATTTTTCATAGATTTCTATCGAAATCAGCGGTATCATTTCCGAAGAAATTGTTCAGAGAATCACTTTAGCATATAGCTGTCATACAAACTGAATGATTGGAGTAAAGTTCTCGAAAGTTGGC